GAGAGAGAGAGAGAGAGAGAGAGCAAAAAGAGGGAGGTGGAGGAAGGGTGAGTGAGCACGAGCTGCACAGCACGAGAGGGTAAAGAGACAGAGACAAGGGGGAGTTTAATGGAGAGCGCTCCAAACAGCGCGCAGACCCACATCTGATCTGGGAGCTGAAGTTCTTTTGGTTCTGGTGCAGTGAAGCAAACGAGCCGGGCTCAGACAGTCGCTTTTTTTTATTTTAGATGTTTTTTTTAGAAGAGAGAGAAAGTTGAGAAACTCTGCGGTGGGACTGGATTCCATTTTGGACCTATTTATATGACTGCACCTTTTTGTTGCGCGTGTTATGCGGGGTAGGTTTAAATCCCTCTGTTTTAATTCGTTTATTCATTTTAAAACCAAGCAAAGCGCGCGCTCCTGTTTGTTTCATGGGAAGGAAGAAAAAGTAATCAAACATTCATTTTCTGTTTTTATTTCTGTCTCCAGGTGATCCGAAGCAGCAGCGAGCGCGGAACCTGTGGATTTTACGCAAACGGATTTGGGACTGATTTTTTTTCCTCCTATATTTTTTTTTTGAATTTTTATTTTTTTGCTTCTGCTTTACCCTCATGAACACTTTCTAAAGACAAGGCAAGAAATAACAAATAATAATATTAGCAGTTGCAAAAAAACGAAAAAAAAAATGGACGTAAGCGCGGATCAGCCTCGATGGGTGAGCCATCATCCCGCGGTGTTGAACGAACAGCATCCCGGCTCACATCACCCGGGCCTCGGCCACTCTTACATGGACCCTTCGCAGTATCAGCTCACAGAAGATGTGGATGTACTGTTTAATGTCGACGTACCGGGAAACCACGTCTCTCCTTACTATGGGAACTCAGTCCGAGCCGTCCAGAGGTACCCTCCTCCTCCTCCCGGTAAGTCAACGGCCTCTTTGGGCCCTTTTWTTATTATTATTCTTTTATTCCTACTCCTTAAATGCTTAGGCGTAATAGAGTTATTCGAAATWGTTTGGGGCTCAGTAAGATCGGGGCCAAGTTTCAGTTTCAAACCCTGAGAGCTTTTTTGTTGTTGTTGTTGTTTTGCTTTTAATGAATCCTTTCTTGGTTTCTTTGCCGCTCGCTGCACAGTTCCCGTCTGCCCTGCTCACGCTGACTCATATSTTAGACAATTGATATTTTATTACACAAAACACACTTTTATTTGTATTTTTTCCCCTCCCTGGATCTATCTGAATTTTGGTGACAGATTTGAACAAATAGACGTGTTGGCACAGTCCAACAATTTGGCCAAATGTCCAGCAGCTGTTTTCTTTTTAAAACATTTTACACCATTTTACGCATAAACATTTGATTATATTTCTACAATTGGCTCTACTTGTTGACACATTTATGGAGTTCTATTTATTGTAACTTCCTGAATAGGACGTAGTTTCTTTTAGAGCTTTGAAGAACAGGTTGCTGCATCACGGCCTGTCTGACGGGAAATTACGCACGTGTGGCAACATGAAATAATTCCATATCGGAAGTGTTTGCTGGGTTATTTTTTTAATTTAGCTTAATCTTTTTTTTATTTTTTTGCTGCTTGTGTTAAAAAAAAAAGAATGACTGCTGCAGACTAAAACCGGGTTCTTGTTTTTGTTGTGCACCAGGTAGCCAAGTGTGCCGTCCGTCATTACTGCACAGCTCCCTGCCCTGGCTGGAGGGGAGCAAAGGCATCACCCCCCACCACAGCAACTCCCCCTGGAACCTGAGCCCCTTCCCCAAGAACCCCCTGCACCACGGCTCCCCGGCCAGCCTGTCCGTCTACCCCCCGGCCTCCTCCACCTCCCTGTCCACCGGCCACTCCAGTCCGCACCTCTTCACGTTCCCCCCGACCCCTCCGAAAGACGTGTCCCCGGACCCGGGCATCTCCACCCCGGGCTCCGGCGGCTCCGGGCGGCAGGAGGACAAGGAGTGCATAAAGTACCAGGTGACCCTGGCCGAGAGCATGAAACTGGAATCAGCTCACAGCCGGAGCGTGGCATCAATCGGAGCAGGGTCAGCCTCTGCCCACCACCCCATCGCCACATACCCACCCTATGAATACGGCCCAGGCCTCTTCCCACCAAGTAGCCTCATAGGTGGGTCATCTTCTAGTTATGGTTCCAAAACGAGACCAAAAACAAGGTCCTGTTCAGGTAGGCGTGCGCTTTATTACATTCCCTTTTGATCTAACATGATTCCCCCCCAGATCTGTAAACCAACAGCCATGTTTAATCTCAGTGTGTGAAAACAAACAAACAAAAAAAAAATCAGCTCATTCCCAACGGATCTGGCTCTAGTGCTCAAACGGGTCAAAAACGTCTTCAAAATGCCCGCAGGCCTTCTCTTTCATCAACTAAACAACAATAATATTAATAATAATAATAAAAAAAACTATAAAACAGTTTCAGGCTAGAAGAAAAACAGATTTATTTGTTTTTGTTCAAAGAAAAATCAAAATCCAAACAAAAAAGGGCCTCACATTTAAATTGATTTTATTTTTATTTATTTATTTGCCCACTGCCACGGGCAGAAGCAGAGGCCGGGCTCCAGCTCTCTGGGCTCTCTGTCGCCTCGTTTATGTGTTTAAGCTAATCCCATTACCGCCAGGCCAGTGCRCGCCACAGTTGCATTGTTTACCCAGCGGCGGAGCACCGGATGCGGCGCGCTCAGCCACGCCGCCGCCGCCGCCGTGGCGCAAAGCAGCGCGGCGCACCCACCAAACACACCGAGAGGAGTCTGTGAGAGTGGGGAGGGGAGGGGGTTAATTATTTTAAAGGCTGAAAAACCAGTCGTTCTGTAATGAGATTAATATC